GAGGAGGGACAGAGAGAAGAAGAGAGAGAGAATCTCAAGCAGGCTCTACACTGTCAGCACAGAGCTCGATGTGGGACTCGAACTCACAAACTGTGAGACCATGACCTGAACCGGAATCAGGAGTCAGAGGCTTAAGCAACTGAGCCACCCAGGCACCCCAACTATCCTTTTCTAATATATACCTTGAAATACAGAAATTTCCATATAAGCATTGCTTTAACTGTATTCTACAAATTTAATATGTTGTATTTTCATTCAGTCCAAAATATTTTTAATTACATATTTTGATCATACTTGGACCATGGCTTATTTAGAAGGCTTTTCTTTAATTTTGAAAGAAATGGCTATTTTCTAGCTCTTTTTCCTATCCAGTTTTTAAAAATTCTGTAGTTAAGGAACATATATTATGCAATTTTTATTTTTACCATTTGTTGAGACTTCCTTTATGACCATGGATATCATCTATTCTGCTAAGTATCTCATGTGCAATTGAACCTAATACCTGTTCTGCAGTTGTTGGCTGTAGTGTTTTACATGTGTCAGGTTAATTTGATTAGCCTTGCTTAAATCTTCTATTTCCTTATCCTTTTTTTGTGGGTGATTTTTCTCTCAGTTGCTGAGAGAAATATGTTAATATTTACAAGTAGATTTTGTATTTTTCTATTTCTTTTTGATTTCTCAATGTTTTCTTTATATATTTTGAAGGTATTTATTAAATAGATACAAATTCGTGTTGAATTTTATCATACTAAATATATCTTTATCTAACTACTTTAGCTTTTCTGTTATTAATATAATGCCCCCCCTTTTTGCCAATATAAATTAGTAAAATATTATCATTATTTTGGTGTAGAAGTTCCTTCCTCTCAATTCAGATGTTGAATTTGTTCCTCTGGAATGTGTTGAATTAGATTCTGATTTGCATCTAGAGCCAATAAAGGATGGTAAGAGTATGCCTTCAGGAGACTAGGTATCTCCTTGCAGAGTAACTTCCACAGAAGGGACAGGGTCTCAAGCTATAGGTGTCTAGGCTCTTCAGACTGGCTTCTCTCCCAGTAACTGAGACTCAGGGACACTTGGGAGGATCAAGATACTCAGAATCAGTTAAGTCCATCTGGAGTTCTTCTTTGCAAGCGTCAAGGTTTTTTGCCTTCTCAGTGTTCTAACTTTCCCATCAGAGTCTTGGCAAATCTACACATTCAACTTATGTTGTGGCTCTGTAACTTCACAATTAAAGTTTGATTTTTTGTTGTTGTTGTTGGTAAAACTGACTCTATGGCCAAAACCAATGAGAGATTCTTTTAGGTCTATCATTATCAGCTCTTTGAGCTGAGAGTTTAGAGCCTTGAGCCTCACTGTGCAAATTCTCCAGAACAGTCTTTGAGGTACTTCCAGCCATCATCACACTTGGTCCCCACACATTTGCTTCAGCCATCATCACACTTGGTGCCTACACATTTGCTTCAGTAGTACACTTCATCACAGTAAACATTGGCTGGTAATTCATTTCATTGTGATGTCATTGTATGCTCGTTCCCCATTGGACAGGAGTTCAGCAGCATGTAAAGCCATGGACATGCCCATACCAATCCCAGAGTCCCATGGTGTCTGTCTCTCTTGGCAGCACTCTTGGTACCAAGTCCTGTAGCTGTCAAGATCTAGTCCGGGAAAGAAAAGCCTACTAAGAGTAATTAATCTAAAGGAATTCTTGAAAAGTTTCTAAAGGACTGGAAAGATGAAAAGAAGTGCTGAGGTACACAGAGGTATTAGTTGCTAGAAAAAGCTCTATGCCTAAGATTGGGGGGGTGGGTAGGGAAGGGCAGAGGATGGGGTTATCATAAATGGATAGTTTCATAATGGGCTTCATAGATCTGGACTGTAGAAGATAGGGCTTTGCTCTGGTCATGTTGGTAACTTAGGAAATCAGAAAAGGGGTTCTGTAGAGCTAATAGCTGTTCTTCCCATCAGGTGATGCTGAGCTGGTACTGGGGGACTTGGTGAGCTGATACTTAGCAACTTGGAAGAAGGTCTTCCAGAATTGTGACTCAGATCTCAGAGAGAGAAGTGCTATACACATGGGGCTTATATCAGGGTGCTTTGTGGTATGCCTGGAACATCTGAGGAAGGGACACTGGCTAGCTAGTGTGGGTCACCCGGGGTACTGGAGGATGGCTCTGTACATCTGGTGCTCAGACTTCTGAGAAGGGCACACTGTTCATCTAGTACTCATACCTTTGTTAGGGCTTAATGGAGCTGGTTCTGGGAATGTGGTAACCAACTGTCCCCACCAGAGCAAGGCATCATGGCTGGGAATTTATAGAACGTAACAGCAGGCAGGCAGATAGGTAATGACAAGTTCCTTGTCCTCTTTTCTTGCGTTTTATTCTCTCTCTTGAATCCGTGTTGATAAAACTTCAGGAAGCCAAATAACAACAGAGAAATATAATGTGCAGATCCCATCTCCAGCTATAAATTTTAGTTTTGGAGTTCAGGAAATAATTGATAATTATATAACAAATGTCAATAGAATGCTGCTATAGCTTCTGTGGTGGTAGGTAACAGCAGGGGGTGCTGATCTGTGTGAGGCTCTCTGATATTTAGTATTGTGTCAGTTGGTTGTGGCTCACTAAATTGACTTCATGACCCTGTATGGCTTGTGACCTAAGCTTGAGAAACACTGAAATGAGTCTGTGACTGGGCATGAGAGGAGACATGGGAAGATAAAGGTTTGGGGCAATTTGAAATAGCTGCTGGAAATAGAAGAGCTAAGTATTGATTAAGAGGAAAACCTGAACGCTGCTTCAAGTGCTGGTAACCGTAGAAAGGAGGGCTTTGGAGTGACATCGGTTCACATGGTTTGTGGTAACACAGTGTTCCTTCAAGGCTCATCTTTGGAGCAATGCAATGTTGACAGTCTGATGTGTCTCAAAGATTCTCAGCAATGAACTTTTCTATTATTACTGCATCAGATTTCTGACAAAGCTTAATATAGGTTATTCTCCTTTTTATAATGCTTTATCTTTTCTTTTTGTTTTTTGAGAGAGAGCACACGTATGTGTTTGAGCGTGCACTCATGTGCGCATGTGCACAAGCAGGGGAGGGGCAGAGATGTGGGACTGGATCCACAAACTGTGAGATCATGACCTGAGCGGGAATCAAGAGTCAGATGCTTAACCGACTGAGCTACCCAGGCATCCATCTAATGCTTTATCTTTAATATCCCTCTTCCAACTCACACATTCTCATCCTTTTTTAAATATAATTTATTCTTTTTAAGTTTTAGTTGTTAACATACAATACAATATTGGCTTCAGGAGTGGAATTCAGTGATTCATCACTTACATACAACACCCAGTGCTCATCCCAACAAGGGCCCTCCTTAGTACCCATCACCCATCTAGCCCATCCCCCACCCACCTCCCTCCAGCAACCCTCAGTTTGTTCTCTATCATTAAGAGTCTCTTGTGGTTTGTTTCCCTCTCTTCTATTCCTCCACCCCTTCCTGTTACGTTCATCTCTTTGGTATCTTAAATTCTACATAGGGTATTTGTCTCTCTCTGATTGACATTCTCATCTTAATATTCCCAGATCTGTAGCATATACCAAGTATATTATGAAGAGAGAAATGGAGAGGAAATCTAGTAATTAGGATTTCACCTCTACCAGAGATCCTTTCCCTGAAAGGATTCATTTAGTATTCTTGGCTTCCAGTAGCCATCCATTAGTTCTGAAAAAGCATCTAAATGTGGACAGGAGTTCTTGACATTATAATGCTAAGGATATTTTTCATACTCTATACTGCTGACCCCATTTGTGAACTTATTTAGAATATTCGTGTCACCAGTATATATGTTCCAGTGTGTCTCCAAATTTAATTTTTGCTTTCAAATATTCAATAAATTATTGATACTTTTAATAAAAGTTAGTGAATGAACAAATTTAACTTTTGCCTGAACCAAAATTTATGTTTTCAACAGGAATGACATAAGTCCACTTGAACTGTGTGTGGCCTTTTGAACGTTTTAATGAACTGATTCTAGGTTTAAGCTTCTCAATCCATCTTTCTGTAGAGAATTCAGCTAAATCACTGGCCATGAAAAAATATAGAATAGAATCTATATTTATACATCTAAGATGAGTCTCTTATGATTGAAAGCATGATGCAGCTGAGCTGGGTAGAGAGAAGGCTGCTGCCTGCATGCTGTGATTGGAGGCAGTTGGGCTGTTTGCCTTGTCTCAAAATAGCAACGCATTCCCTGCTTCCCTATCAGTGTGGCTGCCTTTCTTTGGATGTCCAGAGTTTTTCTACAGATAAGAATGCATCTTAAAATAAAAATCTGTCTTGATTGGAAGGGGTCTCCCAAAATTAATGAGTCCCTTAAGTGACACTTACTTTGACTGCTAACCTCGGATACAATGGGAGATCAGATGTCATGCACAAGTAAAGGGGAGATAGAATAAACTGTGTGGAAAAAAGAGACAAAAAAGTCGGTGGGTTTTCGATGGGTTGTCCACATGCTTCCTGAAGATAGTAGGGTACTGGTAGATTTTTGGTTGGAGGAGCAATCGGGAAGTCAGATGTCTGTCTTTTCATAGGGAAAATTTCATTGCCGGTTTACATGTTTAGAAAACAGTATGTAATCAATTTTTATCTATCCACCATCCAGTTTCAACCATTATTTATGACTAACCTCCTTCATTTCTTCCTCTAGAAACCTGTCCTCTACCACCCCCTGCCTGCCTACACACACACACACACACACACACACACATATGTATATGTGTGCATATGTATATACTCATACATGTGCATATGTATATGACAGTCTCGGGCATTTTATTAATTCTAGCCTCATTCCAATTGAAGAATCACTTTTACCTCACTTTCTTCTCTCTCTATCCCACCCTTCCTACCCCACCAACCCCATCCTAGCTCTTCTTTTTTATTTCCACTTTCAGCACTGCAACTCTGATGGTCCACCTCTTCTAGGACACAGATCCATAAAGGTCAACCCTGCACCCTAAACAGCTCAGAGGGAGGAGCCAGACCAGCAGTACCTCATACCCTGCCCTCTTCTGCCCTGGACAGGTGGCTTCATAATGACAACTCCATAATGGCAGTGGGTGAGGCCTTGGTGCACATCAGGATCACTCTTCTGCTACTCTGGGTTGGGATGTCTCTGTTCATTTCTGGCCACTCTCAAGACAGGCCCTCCCAGCACTTCTCCTCCCCAGAATTGGTGGTCCCCTTGAAGGTGACTGGCAGGGACAGAGGTATAAAGGCTCCAGGCTGGCTCTCCTACAGCTTGCATTTTGGGGGCCAGAGACACATTGTCCACATGAAGGTCAAGAAGCTCTTGATTTCTAAACACTTCCTGGTGTTCACCTACACAGACCAGCAAGCCCTCCACCAGGATCAGCCTTTTGTTCCTGACGACTGCTACTATCATGGTTATGTGGAAGGAGTCCCCGAATCCCTGGTTGCCCTCAGTACCTGTTCTGGAGGTTTTCGAGGAATGCTACAGATAAATGACCTTGCTTATGAAATTGAGCCAGTTAGGTTTTCTGCCACATTTGAACACCTGGTATATAAGATAGTTAGTGATGATACCCAACTCCCACCTATGAGATGTGGGCTAACAGAAGAGGAAATAGCACGACATTTGCAGTTGAGAGCCTCATATAATTCTACTCTGATACAAAGTTCTTATGCCGGCTGGTGGACCCACTTGCGGTTTCTTGAGCTGGGTGTAGTCATGGACCATAATCGATTCCTGTACTACGAAAGTAACGTGTCAGTAGTACAGCGTGAAGTATTTGATGTTATCAATATACTAGATATCTTATATTACTCTTTGGAGGTTGATGTAGTTTTGACTGGGATTGAAATCTGGAGTGAAAGAAACCTAGTTGTCGCTGATCAGATAGATCAGCTTGTGGAGGATTTTGCCCTTTGGAAGTCTGTCAATCTTGATGCCCGACTGCACCATGATACTGCCCATCTTTTCATAAAAAAACGTTTTGGCACAAAGCTTGGAGTTGCCTACGTTGGAGGGATATGCCAACGCCCTTTTAATAGTGGAGTTGATGTTTTTGAAGGAGACAGTCTGTTTTATTTTGCACTTACTGTGTCCCATGAACTTGGTCATAATTTGGGTATGTTTCATGATACTGAGCAATGTGTGTGTGGGCTTCAGTGGTGCCTAATGTATCCTTCCCGGAAGGTGACAACTAAGTTCAGCAATTGCAGTTATGCCCGGTACTGGGACAATACTCTCTCTAGAGGGTCATGTATCAAGTCATCTCCACATTCTGCGAATATCTCTATGGGACAGTTTTGTGGGAACTTAGTGATTGAAGAAGGAGAGGAGTGTGACTGTGGCACCATACACCAGTGTTTAAATGACCCCTGTTGTCTGTTGAACTGTACTCTGAAGCCTGGAGCTGCTTGTACTTTTGGAATTTGTTGCAAAGACTGCAAATTCATGCCATCAGGGACTGTGTGCAGACAGCAGATGAGTGAATGTGACCTCCCCGAATGGTGTAATGGGACATCTCATCTGTGCCCAGAAGATGTATATGTGCAGGACGGGGTTCCCTGTGGTGATGATGCCTACTGCTATGAAGGGAGATGTCCCAACCATGACAAGCAGTGCAGGGAGATTTTTGGCAAAGACGCAAGGAGTGCATCTCAGAGATGCTACAGAGAAATCAACACCCAAGGAAATCGATTTGGTCACTGTGATATCGCAGACCTAATATACATAAAATGTGAGGCCCCTGATATTCTCTGTGGGAGAGTACAGTGTGAGAATGTGGAAGTAATTCCTAGTCTGATACAGCATTCTACAGTGCATCAACTTCACCTCAAAAACATCACTTGCTGGGGCACTGATTATCATGTAGGGATGTCCATACCTGATATTGGCCAAGTGAAAGATGGCACAGTGTGTGGTCAAAAAAAGATATGCATCCACAAGAAGTGTGTCAACATGACCTATCCACCGCGAAGCTGTCAGGCTGATGAGACCTGCCACATGAACGGAGTCTGCAATAATAAACAGCATTGCCACTGCAACTATGGATGGGCACCTCCCAAGTGCCAGCATGTGGGCCATGGAGGCAGTATTGACAGCGGGCCACCTCCTCAGAACCAGGTGGCATCAGAAGGAGAGAAATGGTTGGACTACCTGATATTATTGTGGTTCATTCCTTTAACTCTTTTCGTTTTACTTTTCCTAATTATACTTGGTAAGAAAATTTTGAATGAAGAGGAGGAGCGGGAGGAGGAAGAGGAAGGCTAAAAACTCCTGTCGCATTAAACAAATATCTAGCACTTCTTTTAATAGTACAGAAACATTAGAGCATGTCTGACTGTTTAAAGAAAAATTTAAGGATCCCTCATATCAGGATCATAAGCATTAATATCACACCAGAGGATTTCTAGCATGTACTTTCTTACTCTTCATGTTTTAAGCAATATTAAAACTTCATTTTTTTTTCCCTCGGAAGTCGTCTGTTTTTATTTCCTGGGCAAAGGCACAGCAAGGAGATATTTTTAAGCTGGTGTCTATCAGCTCTAATCCTCCTCCCACCTTTGTGCTCTAGATGTAATGTCAGGGATATGCCTCTACAGATCCCACTTCTGTTCCACCTGTTTTCTTGTGGGTAACTGTACCAACAGAGGGCAGTAGAAGTAGCCTAGAGTGCTGGATGAGGGGGGAAAGGAGTTACGTTTCTGTGTGCCGAAAGTAACTCTATCATTTTGGCTGGGGCCATTCATTCTAGCAGCCAAGTTTGGTTTTGGACTCCAGTTTTGTTGGCTCTTTAGAACCACCTTCATTCTTGGTCACTGACACCCTCAGAGGTCTGACGTGCAGCTCTGAGCTTAGCAGGGTGGTCCTCCTCTGATTTCTGACCAGCAGCTGGTCCCTTGCCCTGCTCTGCAAGGGACCTCTTTGAATCACTGGCATATTGACAAACCACTTTCCTTTGTTCTTTCCTCTGTTCCCCTCACCCTAGGGCTATCAAGTGCTTTCAGTAGTTATTTCACTGTGATAGTCTGAATTCTCCAGAAGCAAAGTTAGAGCTTAGATTGTGAGATTTTGATAGGGACCAACGACTGTGAAAAGGGGAGGAAGTCAGTTGTGCAGAGAGAAATAGTACTGCACTGAAGCCATGGCCAGCCCAGCAGCAAGCTCTGGAATAAATACTGCGTGACAGATTTGGCCCAAAATGGCCAGGTCTTCATACCCTCTCTTGCTCATTCACTGGAAGTGGGGTGACCTGGGAAGGCAACTGAAGCTATCCTAAATAGCTGACATCTGGAGACTCTCTGCTGATTATAATCTCCGCAGCTGTTCAGCAAGACTTTCCTTGAAGGAGAATCAAAGTGGCTTATTTGGGGCTCCTGGGTGGCTCAGTCAGTTAAGCATCCAACTTTGGCTCAGGTTATGATCTCACGGTTGGTGGGTTCGAGCCCCACATCAGGCTCTGTGCTGACAGCTCAGAGCCTGCAGCCTGCTTCAGATTCTGTGTCTCCCTCTTTCTCTGCCCCTCCCCCAATCATGCTCTGTCTCTCTCAAAAATAGACATTTTTTTTAAAAAGTGGCTTATTTGGATATTTCACAGTCCAGTTTTTGCATTGCCTTGAATCACTTTTCCATATATGTTCTGGGAACAGCTCATCCAGGATGCTAATAGGCATCTCTGCCTGTGGGAAACGTTATAAGAGGGAAATTAGTGAGATGAAGCACAGTCCCTACTACCGTGTTTGGTATTGGGGCTGAAATTGACACTTATTGTCTCTCTCCTCCACTATCCATTCTAGTTTCCCTCACCTTTAGATAATATTCTGCTGGCTTTGGGTGATAACCCAGTGTCTATACCCAGGTTCTTGTATCCAGAGCCATTCTCACGCTGGGATTGCTGAGGTCTCTCCATTTAAAGTCACAGTGGGGCTAGAGAATACCAAGGAGCATCAAAGGAGATCACCTGGGTTCCATACATATTCCCTGCATCTCCATGATTTAACAACAGTCCTACCTCTTCTCAATGATTGGGCTCAATTACACCTTCCAAGACTGTGACACCTCTTCTTGCTATTAGAGAAGGGACACAAGGAGCCCAAAAATCCCAGGTGGCAACGTTAGCTTATAATTCCATTGGGACTCTAGCTTTGTCCCCTCGTGAAAATGGGACCCCTTTGGAGATCAGAACCTCTAACATTACAGAATTGAATGGGACAGGAAGCACAGATCACCCCAGTGAGTCATAGGAAATGGTGATATGTGGTGCCACTCTGGCTTCCAGTTCTTGGTTCCCAGACCCAGGAAAAGATCTCTGGTTCAGTCATACAATCCATCCTGGAATGGAATCTGTATTAGAGTTCTGTTCAGAGAAACAGAACCAATAGGATATGGGATTTACATATTTACCCCATCCCCAGAAGAGTATATAAAGCCCTTGAGTGATTTTTACTCTTCTTGATAGCCTGTAAATTAAATACTATGATGTGAAATTAACAATACCTAGATACTGTGAAATAAGTTCAATATTTCATGCCACGTGATAAGGGAATAGGAAAGAGGAAAATGGAAAGAAGAAAACAGGAAATATGAATATAACTGTACTCACAGCAAAAGAAATAGTCATGGCTCTTGCAGTCCTGTTTCTATAATTGTTCACCTGATTGCAGCTGGTATTTGTAACCATCTTCTTCCACCTCCCATTCTATTGCCTTTGCCTTCAGCAAGTACTTCATCTGATCATAGTTATTTATCTGGTGGTGTGACCCAAAACCCTCATTCCTAAATGGTCTGAACCACTAATAGTTCTGCCTGGATTGGGTGGTAGTCTTCCACTGACCTTAGTCACAGGGCATTGTAGTACTGAAAGACATGTTAGGGGATCTCCTGTATTCCAGACACTCTTACTTGCCATTTTACTCTGACTGACTTACTGTGAAGTAGTAGTCCAATTTCCCTTTGGTTAACAGGATTAATCACCCCAGCCATCACCATAACTCCCTTCATTGCCTGTGGATTCAGAGGCATGAGGAGCCCAAAGTGGCCAGGTGGCAGTCTTGGCTTACAGTCAATGGAATCGTTTGTCTCCTGGGAGAAGTACTGTTCCCTCTGGGACTAAGCCCTCTGAGCCAGCAAAACATGAAGTTGTGGGAACAGGAAGCAAAACTTTTGCTGGTAGGTCATTAAGGTTAATAGTGACTTCTGCCACTCCCGTTTCCACCTCTTGATTCCTGGACCCATGAATCTGGGCTATGAGAGAAATAACATCATATGCTGGACACTAATTCAGGGCATATACAGCCTTCTGGAGAGCCTGGCCTCAGCCCTGCAAGGTATTGCCATCTAGCTGGTGCTGTGACTTAGTCTTGAAAAGGTTATTCCACCATTCTATTAAGACAGCTTCTTCAAGGGACACCTGGGTGGCTCAGTTGGTTAAGTGTCCGACTTCGGCTCAGATCATGATCTTGTGGTTCGTGAGTTCAAGCTCTGGTTGGGTTCTGTGCTGACAGCTCAGAGCCTGGAGCCTGGTTTGGTTTCTGTGTCTCCCTCGCTCTCTGCCCCTCACCGCCCCCCCACCCCCGCTCTCTCTCTCAAAAATAAACAAGCAAACAGACAGCTTCTTCAAGATGGTGGGGAACATGGTAATACCAGTGAATTCCATGACCATGGGCCCATTGCTGCGCTTCTTTTGCTGTGAAGTGAGTTCCTTGATCAGAAGCAATGCTGTGTAGAATACAGTGATGATGAATAAAGCTTTCTGTAAGTCCATGGAAGCATTGTGTTCAGGGAAGGAAAATCTGTATGCATAGTGTCCACTCCAGTAAGGATAAAATGTTGCCCCTTCCCTGATGGAAACAGTTCAATGTGATGGACCACCTTCTGACATGCAGGTAGCTGGCTGATTACCTCAGAGAAAGGTGCCATACTCAGGGCTCGATGTTGGTCTTACCACTGCAGATTGGGCAATTAATTGTTGCTGTAGCCTGGTCATGCATAGTGAGTGGAAGTCTTTGTTGCTGAGCCCAAGTGTAACTGCCACACTGCAACCATAACTACTTGAATGAAGTTCATGAAACCATTGGGTCATGATGGGTGACTGGGGAAAGAGGCTGACTGGTATCCACAGAATGGGTCATTCTATTTATTAAAATCATCTGCTGAGGTAACCCTTTGGTGAGCGTTCACATGGGACACAAATATGTTTGTGTTTTTTGGCCATTCAGAGAGTCCGATCCACATGCCTCTTTCCTAAATTTCTTTGTCACTTATTTTCAAATCATGTTCCTTCTAAGTCCCCGACCATGTGGCCAAAGCCCACACATTGTTTTGTAATCCCACATCTTGCCATTTCTCCTAAACAAAGTGAAAAACTGCCCAAACTGCCCACTGGGGCACTGCCCAGAGTTCTGCCCACAGGGGGATTTCCCTTCACCGCTGCCTTCAGGGATGTCTCAGAGAGGGGCAGCAGTGCTGTAGCTGTCCACAGTCAGATGTGCCTGCATGCCATGCAGAACCATCTGCAACCCAGGCCTGAGTCTTCTCTTCTCCTGTCAACTGATCACAGGGAACTCCCCATGAGGCAGTATATGGAGGCTGGGAGAGAGAAGGCAGTGGAGCAGGAGTGGGGACTTTGGACACTTGGGCCACTTCTTCATGTAACTTACTTCAGGGTCTGCTCAGGCCTGATCTTGTATATATCACTTCTGTTTGATAGAGTGTTGGTGTACAGGTTCACTTTGTGGGTTGATGGTCAGAGAACAACCAGGTCGTGACAGTTACCTCAGGTCACATGGTAACATGGTGCCCATGAGCAAGCATTTGGTCTCTATTAAGACCTAGTAATAGGCCAAGAGCTATTTCTCAAACGGAAAGTTATTTCTCAAAAGGAAAGCTATTTCTCATCTGAAGGTGATGGCAGAGCCTTGCCCCCAAATCTTAAAAGCCTGCATTGTAATTCATCTCTAGGGACCTGCCAAAGGCTCCAAACAGCATCTCTCTCTCTGCCACTGACAATTCGAACACGAGCAGATCTGTTGGATCATAAGACCCAAGTGGAAGAGCAGTTCGTACAGCAACCTGGACCTGTAGCAGAGCCTCCTTTTCTTCTGGGCCCTGCTCAAAACTAGCAGCTTCTCAGGTCACTTGGTAAATGGACTGGAGTAACACTCGAGTGAGGAATATGTTGCCTCCAAAATCCAAAGAGGTATTGTGCCTCTTTCTTAGTTGTAGGAGAGCCAGGTACAACTTATTCTTCATCTTAGAAGGGATATCTCAAC